ATTGCGTTTTTCCTCACCCTTAGCAATTTGAAGTTGGGTGGACTTAACCCCAAAAATCGCCCCAGCAGCCCCTGCTGGTGGGGAAATCCTGGGAGTTGAAGTCCACACATCTTCAAGTTGCCAAGGTTGAGAAACTCTGCTCCAGTGGCTAGACTCCCCCTTATCTCTTGGGCCTATGTCAGCAAGCTGACACTCTCCAAGTTACAACTCTCAAAATCAGAGAGCTGGGAACCTCGAAACCCAATCATAATTTGCATCCTATAAATTGATTCTGTTCTGATTACTCATCCCGTTTTTTTGCTAATCTTAAGACGGAGCAAGGCATTTTGCAATCTCGTTTTGCCTGTTGGAAATTTTAATTGGTTTCTCATTGCTGGGGTGTTAGCTCTGTTCCCATCTAGCACCCAAACATATTTTCACCACCATGCAGCCTAGAAACTTATTATAAAGTATTGATTCTCCCCAAGCTGGAGTTTGTACCGATTCTGCAATCTAGCCGAGCTCTTGTTGACATACATTCCTGCAAATCTCATTTTCACAGCAAGTAACTTTTTTTTTCCTTTTGCAATGCTCTTAAGGCTTGCTTCATGAACTGGAGTTCCCTCCCCCTTAGGCATATTATTTAGGACTTCCAGGTTTAGATGGCTACTTGGTTGATGGTTGAAAAAAAATCCAGAAGGCTTTGTTTCTACTGAGTGGAGGACCAATGGTGTTAGCTTGAATTACTTACCTTTAAGCCAATCACATCAGCTGGAATTATATAGGTGGGACTGAGCCCCTAAGCGGGTGGGAAGATCTGTACAGGTGGCTTAAAGAACCTCCCAGAAGAACATGGTGACAACAGCTCCAGAAACACTGAAGACCATGTGGTTCCTCTGAGTGTCAAATTCTCATGTTTGCAAAGAAATTCCAGAATTTTTCTCCCTCTGGGTAGCAACAGGTGAAGGGTCAAGTTCCAACAATTGTGACATCCACAACAGATACAGCAAGAACAGAGCAACAGGCAAGTGGTGAGGAGATAAGAAAGCTACAAGGTCCTTCTACATCCTCAGCTCCATAATCCATCTGAAAACCCCAATTCTGGATTTCTTTTTCACGTTACTAGGGCAGGATCTTGACCGTTTCTCCCTGCAAATCCTTTTTAGAGTTAAAAAAATAGGCATCCCATTTTTCTCAAAGATTTCCATGATATGGGGAATTTTTGACAGCAGCTTCCTCATGAATGTCTATCCTAAATTCTAAGGCTGGGCAAAAATGGAATACAAAATTTGGATTGAGGGTGATTCGATGAAGCCTTTGAAACAAATGGACGTTTCAAACTGAATCGGCATGTTGTGCTGAAATGTGTGCCTCTGTGTGTGCATGTATACACACGCACTCACACACATATGTATGTAAGTATGTAAGTATATATAGAGACACAGAGAGAGAGAGATTGATTATGTTGTCTCAAGTCAGTGTTGACTCTTAGCAACCACAAAGATAGATTTCCTCCATGACAAATGTATGTATATATGTATGTGTGTGTGTGTGTTTGTATTTGTGTATGTATGTAAGTATGTATTTCCAACCAGAACTAGAGACACACTTGTTGACTTGATTCAATGGCGCAATCGCTTGTGATGTAGTCCTGCACTATGTAACTTTTAGCTACCTGGTTAGGTCACTGTGGAAATTGCTCTCCTGCAGGGTCCTATTTCTGTCCTTAGTAACAAAACAAACACATCATTTAGAAACCAGGCCTGAAACAAAGAAACACCAGGCGATTGCACACAAGGACAGGGAAGGAAGCAAGTGAGAACAACGGGACTCCAGAAGATAAGATTTGGAACATGGGGCTTTTAGCCTGGATCCAAAAACAATAAGGGGAATCATAATGGAGACAGAGAAAGCCACGTGCGGCACAGATGTTGCGGAGGGAGACTTTTTTCTCCTCTTCCATCGTGTTAGAATTTGAGGTCACCCCACTGACACGAAACACAGACAGAGACTCAAGACTTTTTGCTGCAGGCTGTGGCTTAAAAGTGTAGGATTTGCAATCTGCAATTGTAACAAAGGCAATTGGGATGCTTTTAAAGGAGACTGGACCAATTGATTGATTGATTGATTGATTGATTGTCTTTGTATAGCCGCCCATCTCACCCAAAGTGACTCTGGGCGATGTACCACAATTCATGGCCATCAGGCTGTCAGTGGCTAAGAATAGGGATGACTGAAGATGTCTTTTGGAATCAGAGGAAGCAATTTGGTTTCTACAAGGGAAGGGGGGGTATGTGTGTGTGTGTGCGCGCGCGTGG